GGAATTTCTTGTTCCTGAATTGGATTGCTCGTAACAGTGTTGCTTTTCTGCACTTTAGCCCTTGGGATGGTTTGTTTGTAAAACAGATGATTGATTCTCTTTGTCATAGTTCAAGAACTTGTAAGATATCTATCTATGTTGTGCAAGGCATACATACAAAATATTTAAGTGAAACACACACACTTTGCAAGAACTTAAAACTGAAATGTTACATGTTAAAACATGTTTCAAGTCTTGAATACATCATAAAATCTGCATTCCATGTCTGGAGAAATAACAAATTATTGGCCGCATGCTTGCTTCAAAGTGCAATAAGCAGAAAATAGAGTCAATGTGTTCTTATCCAGCCAACATTGTTTATCTGTGATGATGCACATTCTCATCCAAACTCAAAACTTATTTATCAATTAAAGGGGAATCACCAATTCACAAGCTCAAGTCAAGATGCCTCTTCCAACTTATGCATAGGCTCTGTCTAACAAGCAGACCCAGATACTTAAATTCAAATACATCAGTTGGTTTACTTAATTGTCAAGCTCAATGGGTATTTATTATCATGCTTCAGAACCTAGTTGCCCATTCATTAGTCAACTTTCATGTTTGGGTTTGATAGAGTATACTACATATCCTAAGTGATTGGTAAAACATATAAGCATTTCTTACAGGCAGTTACTCACTCCCAACTCCTTTTTGTGATTAAAGTAAACTCAAAACTTGGTTACGCTTGCTCCTCTTAATGAGGAAATGTTAGGTAAATGAGAGTTGAACTCATAAGGTGCTTCAAAGACAAATTTTGGGTGGCATGTTGTATAAGGTGCTTCAAAAATCATAACAATGAAGTCTTTAATTTATCATCTCAATCCCTTGTTCTTTTTTGAATGTTCACACCATCATTGAGAGAACAACTTATACTTTACCAATCACTTATGATAAATTTTAATTTATCATCCCAATTATAACTTGAACTTTTGAAAAAAGAATTATCAATATTGAAGATCTCAATAGCAATTGAGAGAACAGGTTACAGAGGTTAAAAACAGAGACCTTGGAACGTGGTGCAATATGATTTATAATCAAATAAAATGACATTATTCGAAAACAGCATATTTTTCCTAAATTTATGCCCTAAGATTATTTCTCAGGGACAAAATTTAAAGAATGAGATCACCTCATTCTGCACTTTGAATGGTCAAAAAAGAATAACTTGAAGGGAAAACAATTGAAACTGCTTGTTTGGCTATGACCCAACTACCCACCAAAGTGATAATATAGATTAACATAAGATATTTTGCTTAGTCACATTAATCAACTTTATAGAAGATTAATCTGACTCAATTTTATTTTATATGTCTTGTTTCAGTTTTTGTCAATGTGAAATCTGAGACCCATTTTCCATGTTCCGGCTCTGTTTTCCACTGGAAAAGTTGCTGGAAGCAGTGACCACATCAATACTTTGTTCAGAAAATATTAAATAATGGTTCTGCTTTTGATGCTATGCCAAATAAAAGTCAAACATTCTAGATTGCTGGTTAGCATTTTCAACTTCAAAGCTTTCAGTTTGCAACCTTGCTCATCTTCTTTCCAACCGAAGCTGATTTGATAACTCTGTTTCTTCCACCCCTCGACCATTTCTTGTATACTATGGGAGGCTTGTGCTCTGTCTCGATTTCGATTGAGAATACCATCTCCTTTTGTTGCAATCACGCAGCAAAGCATGCGAGTTATGCTTGCAGACTGGGGAAACATTTAGATGTTCTGGAAACCAAAACGGAAGAATTAAAAGCATTAAGAAATGATGTGAAGAGGAGAGTTGAGATTGCTGAAAGGCAACATATGAAGCGCCTTGACCAAGTTGAATGGTGACTGTCAAGGGTTGAAGCATTGGAAGGAGAAGTTGAAGATTTGATGAAGGAAAGTGTTAATGAAAAGAAATGTCCTGGACGTTGCTGCCCCAAAAATTGCTGGTCCGGTTACAAGCTAGGAAAAAAGGCTGCTGAGATGTTAAAAAAGGTGAGAAGACACAGGAAGAAAGGACAACTTGAAAGGGTGGCTGAAACACTACCTCCAGCACCAGGGGATTTAAAGCCTTGCGAACCTACTGTGGGTATGGAGTCCATGATTTCAACTGTTTGGAATTGCCTCAGTGAAGAGCAAGCAGTAATCATTGGCTTATATGGAATGGAAGGCATCGGCAAGACTACTTTGTTGACTCAAATCAACAACATGCTCCTCAGCCTTCCCAGCAATTTTGATTTTGTGATCTGGGCAGTAGCTTCTAAAGACCTTAAACTTGAAAAGATTCAAGATGAGATTGGAGAAAAGATAGGGTATTCTGACAATATGTGGAGAAATAAACATATTGGGCAAAAAGCTATAGACATATACAGAGTCTTGAGTAATAGGAAATTTGTTTTGCTATTAGATGATTTATGGGACCGGGTTGATCTAACAACGATTGGAGTTCCTGTACCAAACCAACAAAATAACTCCGAGGTAATCTTCACTACACGTTCCAAAGAGGTGTGTGGTCTGATGGAAGCCCATAAAAGGTTCAGAGTAGAGTGCCTGCCACCACCTTTTGCTTGGCATCTGTTTCAAAAGAAAGTTGGAAATGACACTCTCAACCTGCATCCAGATATTCCTAAGCTCGCAGAAATTGTGGCCAAAGAGTGTGCTGGTTTGCCATTAGCACTTATTACAGTTGGTCGAGCCATGGCCTGCGAAAAGACACCAAAAGAATGGATTCGTGCAATTGAGGTTTTAAGAAAATGTGCCTCAGAATTTTCAGGTATGGGGGATAAGGTCTTTCCTCTTTTGAAGTTTAGTTTTGATCATTTGCCTAATGAGAAAGTAAGATGTTGCTTCTTGTATTGTACCTTATTTCCAGAAGACTTTGTCATTTCCAAAACTGATTTGATAGATTATTGGATTTGTGAGGAACTTTTGGATGAAAGTAATGACAGAAATAGAGCTCAAAACCAAGGCTATGACATTATTGGGACACTTGTATATGCGTGTTTATTGGAAGAAGAAGGTGATTATGTGAAAATGCATGATGTGATTCGTGATATGTCTCTGTGGATAGCCAATGTTTCTCAACGAAAACACATTAAATGCTATAACTAATGACTTCTTCCAATCTATGCCTAATCTAAGAGTGTTGGACTTGTCCAGTAACAGTGGGATAACTGAACTGCCCCAAGGAATTTCAAAACTGGTTTCCCTAAAATATCTCAATCTATCCAAGACAAGCATACGACAGCTGCCAAATGAGCTCAAGTCCCTGGAAAAGCTGGAATATTTGAACTTGGAGCATACATATGCACTAAATACAATTCCATGCCAACTGATATCTAGCTTTCCATTCTTACAAGTGTTGAGAATGTTTGGTTGCGGTTTTTCTGATCTAGTTGTGCACGGTAATCTACAGTCGGGGGGAAATGAGTGCTTGGTACAGGAATTGCAGTGTCTGAAAAAATTGAGCATGTTGAGTCTCACGGTGAAGAGCGCTTTTGCACTTGAAGGATTTTTAAGCTCCCACAAGTTCAAGAGCTGCGCTCGAGACCTATGCCTTGAGTTTTTAAGTGATTCAAATGTTCTAAATATTTCATGTTTAGAAGATATGAAGCAACTCAATATGCTAGAAATCTCTGATTGTAACAGTTTAGAAGAGCTGAAGCATGATTGGTTGCAGGAACCAAGAAAGATACTCACATCTATTGATTTCCACAGCTCAATGATCCTCAAGGACAGATGCTTCAACAACCTTCAAAGAGTAAGTGTAGATAACTGTACACGATTGGGGGATTTGACATGGCTCATGCTTGCCCCAAACCTTGCTAGTCTTTGCATATCAAGATGCTCCCAAATCAAAGAAATAATCAGCACAGCAAAATGCGGCAGATTTGCAGAAGTACCAGGAAGTATTAAGCCATTTGAAAAACTTGAAGTTCTCCACTTGTCTTACCTACCAGAACTAAAATGCATCTACCAGGATCCCCTTCCATTTCTAAGTCTCAAGGAAATCTCCATATTTGGGTGTCCAAGGCTTAAGAAGCTTCCGGTCAATGTAAAGAATGCTGAAGGACATGGCATTGCCATTCATGGATGGGAATTCTGGTGGAAAGAATTAGAATGGGAGGATGAGACAACTAAAAATGCTTTTGTTCCCTGTTTCAAATCTATGCCCCTCAATATCTCACCACAGTAACTTACAATGAAGCAAAGAAATGCAGTATCAGAACATCATCAAATTGCAGATGAATGATTCTCTTTGTCATAGTTCGCTTTTTCATGATACTGAAAACTCTGGTTTTCTTTGTTGAATCATACTCCTTTTCCTTCTTTTTGGTGAGAGAATCATACACTTTGATGAACTCAGAAAATTTCAATTTGAGCTGTCATACACCATAAACTTGGGGACATCTCTGCTTTGTAACTTTCTTTCGCATCAGGTCACACAGGGCTTGGAACTAGAATTTTAATCTTTCCAAATCCAATAGTTTACAGTGAGCATTAATCCAAGAAATTAAGCAAGAAATTTTCAAGTTTACAATGAGAATTCGCTATCTACCTACGAATTTCCCATATGCTTAGTGAAGGAATGAATTTCATTTTCCTGTATGCATTATTTCTGCTACTGCACTTGAAAATGTCAATATCAGGATTTTACCATGATTGTAAGACGTAGATCAGGTCAGATTTACAATTCAACCTCATTAATACTTTAAATTTATAATGATTGTTCCAATCTCTTATGGTGTGCTTCAGAATTCTGACCTACACATCCTCCTTGTTCAAGTTACTAATTGAGATTCCAAGTGCACATTGTTCCTTCATCTTTCCTCTACATATCGGAAAGAACAAATATATAGATAACTTGCAGTCTCTTTTCCTATCAGTAGACAAAGGAGTTAAAATATGCATTTTATCAAAGTCTAATCCAATCTTTAACTTTCTTGAACCAATACCTATCCATGTTGTGCTAGGCATACAAAGGATTAAAGTGAAACACACACATACCTTACAATAACATAAAACCAAAATGTGACATGTTAAAACATGCTTACAGTCATAAATACATCATAATATCTGCATTCCACATCAGGAGAAATAACAAATTATTGTCCACGTGCTTGTTTCAAAGTGAAATAACCAAAACATAGTCAATGTGTTCTTATCCAGCCAACACTTTCTATCTGTGATGTTGCACAATCTCCATTAATTTCATTCAAAAAATTATGAACTAATACCATCACATTCTCATTGAAGTTCAATTCATTTATCAATTAAAGGGAAATCACCAATTCGCATGCTCAAGTCAAGATGCCTCTTCCAGCTTATGCATAGGCTCTGTCTAAAAGAGTCAACCAACCAGCCCAGATACTGAAATTCAAATACATCAGTTGGTTACTTAATTGTCAAGCTTGATAGGTATTTATTATCATGTTTCAAAACCTACTTGCCAATTCTTTGGCTAACTTTCAGGTCTGGGTTTGATATAGTTAGTACATATCTTAAGTGATTGGTAAAAGGTATAAGCATTCCTATAGGCAGTTATTCACTCCTAACTCATTTTTGTGATTAATGTAAGCTCAGAACTTGTGAAATGCTTGCTGCTATAAACAAGAAGATTTTAGATAAATGAGAGTTGAACTCACAAGGTGCTTCAAAGACAAATTTTGGGTGGCATGTTGTATAATGAACTCATCATATCCAACTAATATACCACATAAAAATTTTAGAACAATTGACTAAGCAGTCTGATTTATTCAACATGCTAAATGACCCAAGGCTTCCCCTTCATATTTTACTACACCAAAGAGGTACTTCTTCTCATTAATAAATTTCTTCGTAGTTTCTGTTCTTATATCCTTTCTTAATAGACACAAATAATACAGAACAATACGGGGATCATTTTCAGTACTTATTCCCCAAGAATGATAAGAAAGCCTGTAATCAAAAGGGAAAAAAATCCACAATAAGAATGCATAAAACTACTTATTTAGCACCCTTTACGTACCTTCCTCCACAGCTTGCTGTGCCCACTTGATAGTTGACCTGGCCAATGCATCCATTGGGTCAATACATTTCTTAAGAAGAGGATCATCCCGAGGCAAAAGATCACGCATATCATCAGACGCAAGGATAACAGCGTTAACCGCCCTCACCAGGAGAACCTGGAGTGCAATTCTCAGCAGATTCTGTGCCCCTTCCATGTCTTTTCTATTTAAGGCATCAATTGCAGGGATTACAGTGTGTTCCATGGTTGCCTTATCTGGCAGCACAACCTCAAAACCCTACATTAATATATTGAAGTAATAAATAAGTGCTCAAATTTGCAAATAACTAGCATAATTGTGCTGAAACTAGTATCATATAGGTTTAATATTTTTCAGTTACAAAAATCATATGGAATTTAAAGCTCCAAAACAAGTAATTCCGAATTTAAGACAAAAAAAAATAAAGGAAAAAAGGCAGAGAAAGAGACATTTCAACAAGGTCATAACCTTAAGGTCCATAACATCGGTGCCATCAAATTTGGGGAACTTTATCCACAAATCTTCCAACATATGTACAGCAACATTGCCAAGTGAAATGAGGCTATAAAGATAAATTGCATTTCAGTCATAACAATGAAATCTTTAATTTATCATCTCAATCCCTTTTTCATTTTTGAATTTTCACACCAACATAATGAGCTTCTAAGTAAGAACTTAAACTTATGACCAAATTATCAATATTGAAGATCTCGATGGCAATTGAGAGAACAAGCAACAGAGGTGAAAAACAGAGACATTGGACCTTTTTGCAATATAATTTATAATCAGATAGAATTAGCTCATATCATGCCAAACATATATTCCAAACAAGCTAAGAGGTAACCCCCCTCAGTCAAAGACAGCCCATGAACGTCAACAAAAGACAAAGCTAGTGTTGTTCTACTGTACCTGCCTTTCTTCAAAATTCAAAACTTTTAGTTAGTACATGTATTACCTAAATATTTAGGCCTCGTTTGGTTGATAAATTTTACTTTCTGTGTTTTGTTATTTGTCTGTGTTTTCTATTTATTTTTTATTTTTACTTTTTCCTTTTGCAACACACACACACAAAGGCAAAGGGAACCATATTTAGTACCTTCAAAAGCATTTGCAGCACATGAAGGTCGACCATGAAGGCTACTGTTGCCTGACTAAAATACCTTCTTTTGCTTGTAAATGGCCATGATCAATTTAATAGTTTATTACTTAGAACACAAACTCTCCTAGGATACAGTCATTTTTCCCAAAAAGGGCAAGAACATAAATTGAAACAACATTTTTCTACACTAAGATTATTTCTCAGGGCATAACAATTCAGAATAGCAATAGAAAAAATTTAAAGAATGAGATTACCTCATTCTGCAGTTTCTCTTGGTAAAACCCTGCTTTTAAAGTTGCATCTGTGGCAAGTACCCCAATTCGCAAAGGGCTCCCAGCTTCCAGTGGTTTCAACTTGGCTTCCTTAAGCTCCCTGGCAACACACTCACCCATATGAAGGGAAGGAACAGAACATCCCTTAAACACTTCATCGTGCCATGAGTGTGAAATATGACAAGGCACCACAATGCAGTGAGCTCCTGACTTCTCAAGGAAGACCCTTTTACTCCATAGATTTTCAACAATCCGGGTATGATCGAATTGTGAATGTTCATTTCTAGGGCAGAGAGAAGCAGAATTCCTCTCCATCGATAAAAGCTCCCTATTCAACACTGGATCAGAGCAAAGAACAAAAGGCATGCAATTCTTTTCATTCTCTTTACTCCAATGCACTAGTTTTCTCACGAAATTGAGACTGGAATCAACAGATACCCCTCCAATTATTCCCACGGCATTTGGATGACTAAGCAAGGTCCCTGCAGAGCTAATTAAAGAAGCTGTACCTGAACTAGAACTTTTCTTAGATTCAGGAAATTTCCCACTTTCATCAGTGTGTAAGATCACTGAGGATGGGGACATAGCTAGAGCCGGATCCAACCTTCTCTTACAAAAATTTCTCTGCGTAGTTACACAACTCCACATGTAAGATGGGGAATTCAGTGACATTTGCAAGCTTCCACCCAACATCTCAACATAAAAGGTATCAAATGAAACCCAAAATACAAGTATAAGATTCTAAATTCCAGTGGGAAAATATGAGGTTCTGGCAACTGAAATCCACCTCTGGAACTAATGAATTAGCAAAAAATTCATAGTTCACCTGAGAAGGCCAAAAATAGAAACCATCTCAACATTCTGATATCAACCAACAAAATTCCAACTTTCAGAAACTGCTAATTAAATAAGTACTCAAAAGACCATGTATAGTATCTTCTACTCGATTTCTACCTTCTACAACCAAAACCACTTACAGAACTAGCCAAAAGGCCAAACTTGATCAACCTTCAACCTTCAACCTTCAAAAACCAAAGTTTTATCATAAACCCTACAAATGAAAGCCTAGCTTTTCCAAATTTTAGCTCGCAAAAGATAAAACTGTTCTAACAAAGCAAACCAATTCCAAACGACAAAACCACTCTAACAAACCAATTAGGTTCACCTTAGCAAAACCCAACTTCCAAACCCAGGAGGGCTTCCCTCTCCAAGCCTCCGGACTTCAAAAGAAGAAACCAAACAAAAAGAAGCAAAAATCAACAAAGGCAAAGTGAAAGGCGCAAAAGTTCCAAGCTCCGAGGACTTCCTTGATATGCACCAGTGTTTTAGGGATGGACCAGCGGCTACTGCAAGTGGGAATCCTTGTGCTTTGAATAAGCATATGGATCTCTCTATATCATATTTTTCTCACTGTACTGATAACTCTGGTTAAATTTTAAGTGGGAAGAAAACTGAAAAATAAAAATACAACAAAGTGAAACAATTGAACAGAAGTAAGTCTCTGTCTGTGTCTGTCACCTTTTGTTTGTAGCATGTGCAACTTGGGGACCCTCATTCTGCTCCGACAATGTCCTTCTCAGTCTCTGTGCTTTACGGTTTCCATTTAATTTTTTAATACAATTGCTGCTTTAATTTTTCCTTTTCAAATATCATATAGCATTAGTCATTTGGTTAATGTGCCTTCCTTTTTTGATCCATTCTCACCACTGCTTGCTTCTGTTATCTGCCTTGCTTGGTTTTGGGCCTTCACCAACTTTCTCAAACAAAGGCTGAAACATCATTTTCTATTCATTAAGCAACTCTTTCATTATTTTTTCCTGATTTTTAGTCATCAATGAAGCTAGCTCAAGAGGATACATTTCCATTAAGCAAAGCTTCAGAGACTCAAGTTTTTTTTCCTTGGAAGCAATATATTCATTTAATATTTATTCAAATTTCTCCTTCATTGTCTTTGTTATTGACTTCAACTCAACAACATCAAGATTTAGTTTGGGGGATTCGCTGGATTGGGAAGGTTTTGGTTGGCTAAAGACATGAATAAGAAGAACTGAGGTCTCAAGAAATGAAGTGTCCTGTGAATTTGCAGCACAACTGAAGACACGAAGGGAGTTATCGGGGGGTGCAAATTTTGGGCCTTTGCTGGCTATCTAAGGAAGAATTGGAGAAAGGGAGGAGGGACTGGACTAGCTGACTATGAAGAATTTGGTTTTAGAAGGGTTAAATAGTTATTATAAAATATAATATATATTTAATGTTTTAAAAATATAATATAAATTTCAATTCTTCCACTCATTTGGTTAAGAAATCTAGATATCGAAAACTAACTAGTCTTTAATAAACAAACTGGTCGTTTAACAAATTTGGTTGAACTAATAGAATTAAATTCAATTTGGTTAGTTTATTTAGATGGATTCCGCTTTGCTTAACTCTAGATGTAGTTGACAGAAATTGTTTTATAATTAAATACCATTTTCATAATGAATAAGAAAGGTCCAAAGAAAAGTGTAAATTAAGATTGAAATTTGAATTTGATTCTTTTACTTTTTAATTTGGTAGTTTAGTTTCTTTATTCCAATTTTAATAAGTTTAGCTCACGCACTTTTATTAAAAGTCAGTTCAAGAATAATTACTAGCAGTATTAAGATTTTACATTTAATTTGGATAATATGACATTTAGCTAATGACTTGACATGAATTAATCATTTAATTATGCGACACATATTGATTTAAAGAATATCATACTTTATTTTAATTAAATAATAATTAATATTTTTAACATTTTAAGGAAAGGAATTTTAATATTTTTTATTAAAAAATTCAAATTAACATGTTATATTATCAATCAAAATTTATGCAATTGAATTTAACTTCAAAAAAATTTAATTTCATTATCAATTATTCTTGAATTGACTTTTCATAAAAATGTAAGAAGTAAATTCATTCAAACAGAGGTGAAATGACTAAAACCATATAATAAAAATAGTAGAAAGACCAAATTCAGATTTCCACTATCTATTTCATGAAGGTGAAGAGTATTTATTAACTGGATAGCATAATGTTTGAATCTACTACTTGCATTTAAGGTGAATAAAAGTTCCTTATTATTTTTCTAGGACCATGCAAATGAAGAAATTCATATTATGATTGTCAGCCAATATTTTCTAGTTTCTATTTCATTGAGATAGAATTAAATCTTTAGGCAACTATGCTTGGTCAAATAGGATGATGATTAACATTTTTGTCTACTTTTGTAACATATGATTCTAAACCACAAATTCCTTAAAGAAATAGCAACTCGACAAGACTTATTTATTGGTCATCAAAGGCCCCCATTGCCACAATTTGTGAGTCATGGCTAAGGTCGAAGACTCGGGGAGTATTAGACATGACAGCACTAGACCAACTCAAAGTTCCAAGCGGGGACATCTGTTTGCTGAGCAACATGGACAGATTACGCAATTGAGAATTTTTCACCCTGGGGTCCCCTTGTGCTTTGCTAAGGAAAATGGATCCTGGCCATGTGCCACGTAGCAAGAGAAAGTAATTGATAAGGCTGCAGAGCTCAAGCCGAGGAAATGTTTTCAAGCCCTTACCATGAAAGACTTGGGTTTAACCTGTAAAACCAACAGCTGATTAACCACATCTGCAATTGCCTGTGCCAAGTCCCTTTTATCGAATAAATGCGTAGGATATCTAACCAAGCACGGTCCATTTACAACTTTGTCCACATTACCCAACTTGTAAAGTAGTAATATTCACGTGTATATATAAAGTGTACACTTTACTGAGCAACTTCTATTAAAATAATGATGTGATTGAATAGTATCACAGTTCACATTTACCTGTAAAAGTTATTTGTTTTGATTTATCGAGCCTTATAGTTTTACTCCATAAAAAGCAACTTACATGTTAAAAATTATGTGAACATTTGGATACCATATTATATTTTAATACACATTTGAAGTGAGATTTAGAATTCTCTTTTAAAACCGTGACACATGGCAGAGACATATATCATAAGTTGGGGTCCAATAGCGAGTTAGTGACTTGCAACAAGAAGCCTAGGTGCCCAACTTTGTACAATCTAATCCAAAAATTAGCTATCTGCTGTGGAGCTTGCTTATGTAAGGTTTAATTTATCATTGAAGCAAAATCATAGTAGTGAGATTGCAATACTGTGTAAAATTACAATTGGTGTAATTGGTTTTTAGAAAGACATCGATGACATTGTGGGAGAGAGAGAAAACAACCATACATTTCTATTTAAGTTACAAGCTATTTGAATCTACTCCAGTAAACTGTACAGAGGTAATCCAACTCCCTAGTCCCTATAGAATCTCAAAGTTGCCCTAAAATTACATCTCAATAAGTTTAAAATGATTTGTCAATAATCTCTATTCCATGAAAGTTCTGTTGTATCTTTCCTTCCCAAGATCCCAAGGTGGGCCTATATGTTAGGTACTCAAAAATGTTACCACCAAAGTATGCATGCTGGATCTGCCTTCACAGAATTTTGACTCGCCTTGCTTTGCAACTATGGATTAATTTTCTCACATCCCTTCTAACTGACAAAAAGGCACAAACCATAGCAACAATCATTGTTGGGTACATATGAATAGCTTTTGTGGGAACCATAATGATTTCTCTGAGAAGGCCCCATATTATAAGCATCGTCCCAAAAAGGCTCATTCTTCCGTGCCTTAAGAGACTTATAAATGCTCCTACAACAGCCAAGTAGCTCCCTGCAAGAATCTGGTGCAATGCAAAAATTGGAATATGAGATCATTGGCTTAAAATTGAAGAACATTGAATAACCAAAACTTCCACATGTAATTAGACATTGATCAATGATCAAGCAACATATGAGTCCTTTGCCAGTAAAATTTTGATTTAAACCAACCTCTAGGCGCTGAAGATCAGATGCTGCAGGAGGCTTCCTCACATTGGTGAGGTTATATAACTTTAACAATTTGCCATAGCTTGGAAAAGACCTGTTTTTGATGATAGCATTGGCAATAGCCCCTGGATACAGAAGAACCTTAACTACACATGTAGGGAAGAGCTCACTGGCAATCAACTGAGAGGATGTTACCTCAATAGGCGTTTTGCATATTCCAAATCTACATGGTACCCTGTAGAGTTGAGAAAACAACATGTTAAGAAGGTTATTACTAAATGTGTAGATGATATTGACAAATATTTTTGAGTTCTTTCTGCGCTTTAATGGCATTTTGACAAATTTCCAAACACATTTTATCAGCAGCGGAAGAGTTTTGAAAGGATTTCAGATTCTAAATGAGAACAACACCTGCATTAATCCTGGATCTGTATGCAGGCTCCTACGCTATTTACAGAAGAAAAAGATATAGCTTGACTAGAAATCAATTCTATAACATGTCATGGAGTAGATTCCTGGTGCGTTTCTCTTGTTTGTCAGATGTGGCAATATAATTTTTAAGCACCAAAGAAAAAACAAAAACTAATAGGAGTTATGTGGCTGGTTGCAATGCAAGAAAAATACCACAAATATGAACAAACAAAAGAAATCCAAAAAGAGAAAAGGAAGTTAAGAAGTCAGAGTTGTAGCATAATGCTATGCAAATTGCACTAGACTTTCCAGATTTTGGTTAAATAAAAAATGTGGTGGCCAGGAGAAGAGAGAAAAGCAATGGATAGCATGGAATATTCTATTTCTGTGAAATTAAAAGAAAAAGAAAAAAGGAATCCCAGAGGCATGTGATGCTTATACATTTTTAATTTTCGTCTCTTGTTGCTGGGTATAAACTACCAATCCATCATTGTCAATAAAATTAAAAATTAAAAAAAAATTGGGATGGGAGGAGAAATGGGGTTACCTGAAAAGAGGGATTTGAAAGATGATAAGAAGGAAATACATAAAAGAAGCAATGCAGGATATGAAGCTTGCCCATTTCCTTGAAGAAGCCATTGGAGAAGGAACCCACGATATGGAAGGGAAAAAAAATTGCAGCGAGGAAATAGGAGAGAGAGAAAATAGAGGGAAGTTATTGTGGTAAAACTTGTTGGGAAGGGATGGAAATCACGGGGTCATATTGTTCACACGTCTGCGTTTGAATTTTGCTACCTTATTACATGTATTCCCTCTCTCTCCACGAGTTTGAATTCCTACCTTCAAATAAAATAAATGAATCCTCGATTCTCGACACCTCCCTAATTGGGTTTCTTAATTGCCCTTTTTCCGGAATAAAAAGACATGGGGAAACAGACAAACCGTCCTGTGTTCCATGTGAAGCTTGAGTTCCGATACTTTGTAATATCTATCGATTTGTTGCATGCCATTTTCTTTGTATGCAATATTAGTTTAGAATGGAAAATTGTTTCTTGATTTATAGTAGTAAATACTGTCCTTACGTTAAATATGATATAAACAATTGGTGTTATTTCCGAACATATATATTCAAGCATCAAGCTGATCCATTTATTATGGTGATTGTAGACTCCAGCGCAGTAATGGGGGAGGGTGGCAACCTTGATTGAAAGTAGGCAACATCCGTAGAGAAATTTATTACATATGTTGTTGCATTTGCCCCGTCAATGATGTTCTTAAAGTCCGGTTAACTGGTGTCCACGGTGAAAGAGTCTACATAGTACGAGACAAGCTAAATATGTTTAAACCTTGCTTGCAGGGGCTGAGGGTAATATATTTACGAGGGAGTGTATTTTTCTAAAATTTTTAAAATTTTTTATATGTTTTTTATTATATACTTACTGCCTTGTCAAAAGTATCTTCTAACTTTTGATAAATCAATTAGTTAAATGATAGTATTCAAGTATCCGAGTATTTGGCTCATTGATTGGTGCATTATTACACTACTTAAAAAGCATGATTCGAATCCCGCCCTCATCCAATTATAAAAAAATTAATAATAGTACTCAAAGTTAGGCACTATTTTTCATCCTTTCAAATTAAGGGGCTTAAGACTTAAAAGCTTATCATATAATTTTTATTGGACTTTAATCATCCTTCTTCTTAATTCTCATTTAAGGAATCAAATAGTATACAGTTGAATATATTATCTTTAACTTGATGGATACAACATATAATATAATCCTGAATGATCATATATAATTGTGTTTCAATAGTTATTTTATATTATACTTGTCGCAAAAAAAAAAATAATAGTACTCAAAGCTAGGCACTATTTTCCATCCTTTCAAATTAAGGAGCTTAAGACTTAAAAGCTTATCATATAATTTTTATTGGACTTTAATCATCCTTCTTCTTAATTCTCATTTAAAGAATCAAATAGTATATAGTTGAATATATTATCTTTAACTTAATGGATACAACATATGATCTTATCCTGAATGATCATATATAATTGTGTTTCAATAGTTATTTTATCTTATACTTGTTGTGTAACATATTTTAATATTAGTGAACATGATATATAATTTGTCAAAAGACAACTGTCTATTGCTACATGATATATAATTTATAAGAGTATCCCTTTCTCAATGTTACATGATATTTGTTTATATGGAATCCTCTTCGTCTTTAGCCTTTAATAAAAATTGATCAACTTCACTCCTGCACATGTTAACTTGACTATCATTGATGAAAAATGTACATATTAGTAGATTTGTCAAAATGGGCCTAACCCATTAAGTCAACTTATTTTTTATTAAATATAAGGTAGGTTGGATTTGAAAATTTAAACCCATATTAGAATCGAGCCTAAATAAGTCAGCCCATCAGATCAATGAGGTGGGGTGGGTTAAGGCGGGCTAACCCTGTGGGTCAAAAAAATTAATAATTTAATTAATTTAATAATTTATACATTTAATTATGTAAAATTAATAATTTAGTTACCAATGATATTGCATATTTTATATATTTCAATGTCTTTAATTTTTACTTATCAAATTAATAATTTATTTTAGATTAAAACTTATTATTTCTTTTTCTTTTATGGTAATGAATATTAAATAATAAATTGATAATAATTTAAAGCTTGAGACATCATTGTTGTCTAAACAAGAATTAAATGTTTTGCTTGAGGATGAGAATTGAGGAGCATATAAATGAGTCTTGAAGTTTTTATTATTTGGTTATATATGTATGTTTATGAGATTAGAGTTTATGTTAAATATTTAACTTTATTTATGTAATTTATTTATATTTGATGTAATTTTTTTAGTTTATAACATGTTTTTATTATTCAATTTATAGATTAAATCATACAACAATTTTATTAATAAAAAATTTATTAGATAGAATTATAAAAATAATTTTTTTTGAAAAAATATAAATAGGTTACCTAACTTGACCCATAGGTTAGCAAGGGGTGAGCTAAGCTGAAATTTTGATGACTCATGTAAAAAATAAACTAATCCAGCCCAACTCAAATTTTTTCAACCTACAAGGGTTTGGGCTGGACTGAGCCAAGTCAATCCATATTAACAGCTCTACATATTTATGCATATGTTTCAAGATAATGTGATAGTTATATTGAATTTAAGTTATTTGTGAGAGAAATTGTTTGGTTTGCGTACATTTGAATTTGAATTTTAATTTGATGGAGTTGTGATGGTATAGATAAAGTGTCCGAATCCCCCCATTTGATAGGATTTGAATGCTTCTAGTTTGAATTCTCCTTTATGTCCTTGCAAAATGGTGGAGCTACACTAATCCTACTTCGTAATAGCAGAAACCTTTGCCTGGGGAGGGGTTTGGTGAGTCCATCAGCAAATTGGTCAAATGTGGGGATGTATGCTTCGTTGAGTTTTGCCAAAATTGACATGTTGCCTTCAAAATGATGGTCAAGTGCATAATGTTCCATTCAAAAGTGAAATACCAAAATTTTTTAAACCGTAACTTTTAATTATAATTACACATAAATTTATTAATTTATAAAATAAACATTTTATCTTAAACAATTAAATAGTGTTAAAGTTTAAATTAAAATATTTAAAATGCTTTTTTTTTATTTTTTTAATCAATTAACGGCCAGATCTGGTTCAGATCTAATCAAATTTCTCAAAGAGCACCAGTTTGGTGCTGCCAAGGTCAATGCTTCCCAAGAGGCACTGGATCTGTTCTCCTTCGTGAGCTCCACGTTGGGTGCTCCTCACCCAAGGAGCACCACCTGATCGATGCTCCCCTCCTTGGGTGAGGAGCTCCCGATTAAGTGCTCCCCAGGGAGCACCCGATCAAAGCTCCTTGGGGAGCACCATGTTGGGTACTGCCGATTTGGTGCTCCTTCCTGGGGAGGGAGATCTGACTCCCAGTCCCAGATAAGAAATTTTTTTTTCAAAAGAAAGAAAATTAAAAATAAAAATATATCATTTTTATATTATGATAATTTTAAAAGTTGATGAAAGATAAAATTATTTTTTTAATATTATCAATTAATAAAAATAAACATTCCGTTTTAAAAATATAAACAATATTAACAGAATCTATAAAATAATTAAAATATTTTTTTATTAATTTAAAAAATTATTTTTTTTAAAAAAAATAGAGAACACCGAACTCCCCAAGAAAGGGGAGCATCGTTTTGGTGCTCCCGTTCCTTAGGGAGCACTGATAGATGCTCTCCCTCGGTGCTTTCTTTTTTTTTAATTAATAAAAAATTAATAAAAATTATATAATAATAATTTTTAAAATTAATAAAAAATAAAATTATCATTTTAATATTATCAAGTCATCAAATTAACAAAAACACTAATGATTAACTAACGGTTAGAATTTATGTGTCAAGTAGAAGATATTTTTTTAAGATGTAGTGTCTATTTTGAAAACTAATAGATTTACTTGCAATTTTAATTAAAACTTAGAATGATGTAATTTATCCTTAAATTTAACTTTTCTTAATAAACAAACATAAGTCTTTACTTGATGGGCAAACATAATTTTTAAAAAATAATATTAATTTAACTTATGAAAATTATAATATTTTTCATGAATATTAAATACTTTGTCCATCAAAATTATTTAGAGGAGCTTTTTTTTTTCAAATGTGGAATAATAAAATCCACCAATATTTCAAACTACCAACGTTTACACTTTTACACCATCCTATCAACTTTAAAAAATTAATGACTAAAACACTAAGAAAAACCTTAACTTTTTTTAAATTTCAATATATAAACAAGTATATTCTTATTGCGCCCAATTGAACTCTTTAAGTATTACTTTTGTTTAATCAAATCCTTATTTAGATAAAAACCTTTAAAATTCATTATCATTGTCATACTGTCTATGCGACTATTATCTATGCCATGCTGACGCCTACATGGCATGTACATAGCAAATTAAGAGCTCTATACATGCAAATGTGGAATGCCATGTAAACATCAGTTTAGTATAAATTTTGACATGGACATTGATATGAAAAAGATAATGACCACATAGATGGTGGCGTGGCCTAGGTATATATCAAACTTCAACAGGCTTCCTTTCCATTCAAACTAAGAGATTAATTAAGTAAAAATAATATTTTAAGAGTTCAATTAGATACAAATAAGAAAAATAAAGGCTGGAAATTTTGAGATGGTACAAAGACTTAATTTTTTAATATTTTTAACCTTTTTTAATCCTTTTTAACAAGGTAGTTGATTGAGCTGATAGTCAATTTGATTATTACATTCATACAGTAATAGCAAAAAGGTACAAATTGATATTCTTCTCGTTTCTATTCTATTGTATACTTTGACAATAAATACTATTCATGCTTTCGAATGTTCTCCGGTTAGAGCACATGCAGGGTACGGCTTGGGGGCCTGTAGACAAGAATCAATCCCTTTTTCTTGACAATACGTCAATACCCTTACCCTTACCCTTGCAAGTTGCTGATATATCTTTCTTCAAGGGAAATTTCCTATTTTCTGCTGCTTTCTTCTTTCCAGGAATCACTGGACCACACATCACCTCCCGACGGTGAACAGGACAAATGGTGAGCTTTTATTAAAATTTTACTGCCTTTGTCACCCCAATCTCTCCGACTTGCATGTGACTAAATTTTGTTTATTTGTTAACAAA